ATAGGGGGTTACTAATCTAAGGCAACCCGGGCCAGCATTTAGGCAGTGATTGAGTGTGGTCATCTTGGTGACCAAAGCCAGCTTCTCACATTTCTTCTTGAAAAGCACGGTGCTGACATGTTTAATATCCTATGGCATTTCCTCTGGGCTCTATAGTCTGATGGAAAAAATCCCTGTTAATGTCTGATGGCCAAGTTGAATAGCACAGCCTTGAGACCCTCCACTTCACAGCTCTGGATAGGGTGGTGATTTCTCACCAAGTTGCAGTAGAAAAATACCAATAGTCATATCCTGGCAAAATCCACACACCACCGGTTATAGGGAGAACACTTATGTTTGCCTGGATGGTTTTTGGACCAATAAAGGCAAAAATCTCACCCACAACTTCATAGGGAATGATAAATCAAAATCTAGTACACTACAAAAAAGAAAAAGATAAACCTAAGGTTTGAAGTTTGTCTGGAAGAATTCCAAAAATGCATATTTCAAGGGAATGTCTCAGGGCAACCCTAAATAGACTGGTGACCTGAAGATCAAAGACACCGTATTTTATTAGCCGTCTCCTGACCCAGCCAATCTGACTATCCTTCCCTAACTGTTACATGCATCCAGATAAACCCTCCCCTGTCTGTCTTTACTTTCTTTCTCCGAGAATCACAAATCAGCCCTGACAGCATTTGGTTTCTCATCTTAAGGAATGTAGCTGGTACATTCTTTATGTGAAAGAGGCAATCCCAGGAAGGGGTATGAACCAGACTGAATGAAGAGTGTCTTATTTCATCTGAACAGAACAAAAGAGTGTCTTTCCTTTCCCAATGCCTGCATGAGTCTAAAGACTTGAATGAAAGCAGACTGGCTGAGCTTAGTCCTGAGGATGGATACACGGCTGGCAGGGAAGAGGGCTCCTCTGGGGTCCGGGAGGTGACTTTCCTTGCTCCGTGATTGTTCTTATAATGGAGTCCTTTCTTGCTAAGGGGAGCAGTGACTGACGGGGTTATTTATCCTTGACTGCTTCCCCACACTGATCCCATGTTCTTTTTTTGTTTCTTTCCTTCTTTTTTTTCGAGTCTTGCTCTTGTTGCCCAGGCTGGAGTGCAAAGGGGCAGTTTCGCTCACTGCAACCTCTGCCTCCTGGGTTCAAGTGATTCTTCCTCGTCAGCCTCTCAAGTAGCTGGGATTACAGGCATGTGCCACCATGCCCAACTAATTTTGTATATTTAGTAGAGTTGGGGTTTCACCATGTTGATCTCAAGTTCTATAGGTACAGTTGGGACATAATTACTTTAAAATGTTATGAGTTTTTCATGAGTTTACTCTGACCTGGGAATGTTGTGAAGTATCAGTGTGGCAGGCAGCCTGAAAGATGGCCCCCAATGACTTCTGGCCCCTGGTGTTCTCAGCTTTGTGGAATCCCCATCCCTGGAGTGCCTTGGGTCTACATAAAATATTGACAACATTGAGAGGATGTCATTTCTACGAGTAGGTTACGTAAGACAGTGACTTCGGCCGGGCGCGGTGGCTCAAGCCTGTAATCCCAGCACTTTGGGAGGCCGAGGCGGGTGGATCACGAGGTCAACAGATCGAGACCATCCTGGTCAACATGGTGAAACCCCGTCTCTACTAAAAATTACAAAAAGTTAGCTGGGCACGGTGGCGCGTGCCTGTAATCCCAGCTACTCAGGAGGCTGAGGCAGGAGAATTGCCTGAACCCAGGGGGCGGAGGTTGCGGTGAGCCGAGATTGCGCCATTGCACTCCAGCCTGGGTAACAAGAGCGAAACTCCGTCTCAAAAAAAAAAAAAAGACAGTGACTTCTCTCTTGCTAGCAGAAACACTCCTTGGCTGTCTTTGATAAAGCAAGCCACCAGGCTGGAGAGGCCCACGTGGTCAGCAACTAGGGGTGGCCTTGTGTCAATTGTCCCCATAGCCCTAAAGGAAGCAAGGAGCTGAGGAAGTCAGATGGCCCAGCAACCCTCAAGGAACCAAATCCTGCCAACAAACACTTGAGCTTGGAGGCAAACCCAGTTAGGCCTTCAGATGAGATCCCAGCCCAGGCTGACATCTTGACTGCAGCTCTGTGAGAGACCCTGAAGTCAGTCCTGGCTCATCTGTGCCGGATTCCTGTCCCTCGGAAGCCATGAGATAATAAATGTGTGGCTTTTAAGTTGCTAACTGTATCTTAGCAATGTGTTATAAAGCAGTAGAACTAATACAGATTTTACTTAATAGTCACTAATTATTACAAAATACATTTCTGGGTATATTTTATTATTTCAAAGATAATAGACTGACAAAATAATTAAACCTGATATGCTTCCACTGTATATCACATTGTTTCAAAATAAGTCATTTCCTTAGAGAATTATTTGTAAACCAACGGATCATATAAGGGCAGGCATTAATAAGCCTCTGTGGTCTAAAATGTCACTCCTCTGATTAAACACCTTCTGGAGTTCTGCATGAAGTGCAGACTCTGCTGTGACATTCATAATGTGACTCCAAACCACCTTCCCAAGATTCCTCCCCATCACACCACTCATTGTTGGTACCTCATGCCCAAGGGGTGGTTCCTGACCAGCCTTCCCACATGCGGCCTGCCCTCCCTACTGCTGCCCTTATGATGCTCTCCCTGCCTTTCTCCACCTCATGCCTGCTGTGGAAAGCCTGCCTCCTCAGACCGCCCCTTCATGCTATTTCTTACAGGTCCCACATCCACCTCTGAGCCAGGTACTCAGTCTCCTCCCTTACACTCCAACATTACTTTTGGCCTTGCTTAGGGCATGTTATACTCTGTCCTTCATCCTGGTTTGCTGTCTGTCCCATCTCTGATTTGGCCTCCTCTGATTTCCCATGTGAGACCAAAAGCTCCATGAAACTGTCCCTCATTCTTGGTGGCCCTGTCTACACCTAGCGCATCACCTTTGGTGTAGTGAAGACATGGTCACACAGTGTTTGCAGAATTTAATTTCATGAAGGGCAATGTAGTGCAGCATTACCCAGATGGTGCTAATGGAAGTTCTACTAACAGGAGATTCTATGGCTAACATAGTGTGGGAAACCAAGTGCACTCTGTGCCTTTGCTATGGTTTGGATAATTGTCCTCTCCAAATCTCATGTTGAAATTAGATCCCATTGTTGGAGGTGGAACCTAATGGGAGGTGTTTGGGTCATGGCAGCAGATCTCTCATGAATAGATTAATGGCCTCTCAGGGTGAGTGAGTTCTCAATCTGTTGGTTCCCAAGCAACCTGGTGTTTAGAAAGAGCCTGGCACCTCCCCCTCTCTCTTCTGCTTCCTCCCTCACCATGTGTTCTCTGTACACAAGGCTCCCCCTTTTCTTTCTTCTCTCTCTCTCTCTCTCTCTCTCATTTTATTAACAGATGGGGTTTCACTTTGTTGCCCAGGCTGGTCTCGAATTCCTGGGCTCAAGTAATTCACCCACCTCAGCCTCCCACAGTGCTGGGATTACAGGCGTGAGCCACTGTGCCCATCCCCCTTTGCTTTCCATTGCAAGTAGAAGCAGCCTAAAGACCTCACCAGATGTGTACACCAGTGCCATGCTTCCTGTGCAGCCCGCAGAACTGCAGCGGCAGATACACTCCTTTTCGTTATAAATCACCAGGCCTCAGGTATTTCTATGAAAACACAAAATGGACTAAGACACCCTCCATAAAGAGCTGCCATGGGTGTGAGATGAGTAAAGTCTCTAAGAAACCCTGCAGTAAAGAAACAGGCAGAACCCAGCATTCAGCTGTGGCTTTCTATAATGCCGGGATTTGGGCAGAAGGTGTGGAAGCTGCCTAGTTACCTCTCTACAGGATTTCTGCCCACTCAGAGCTCACCTCAGAGTGGATGCTGTATGTTGTGTTTTGTTTTTTTCCCCCTCAATAAAGCTGTGAGTTTATCACACTTTATAGTCTATGCCCATTTCCCTTGTTCAGTCACAGGTGATTCCACGGTGGTTTCAACTGAAGATGCTTTGAACAGATGCTCAACTCCTAAAAATGCACAAATCCTGCTGTTAGGAACTAAGCCACTTCTACTGCATTTAGAAACATATTTGATAACTAGTTTGACATGATGACCCCTGTCCTCAAGGGACTTTTTGTTCAAGAGTGCAGTGACTAAAGATTTCAGATATTAGACACTCACTTTTTCACCAGTCTTTGCCAGATTTAATTCTATTTAATGGATATTAAGCCTTTCCCATGTGTCAAGCACTATGCTAGATGCTTAGGGCACAAAACGTAATAAACTCTTTCTGCCCTAAAGAATGTCTAGTCTGACTCAGAGCATAACATATTATTTTAATGTAATTCTGCGAATGTTGAAACTTCCTCTCTCTTTCTTAGCAGTGGGTTATAAAGCAGTAAAACTAGTGCAGTAGATTTCACTTAATAGTCACTAATTATTACAAAATCTATTTCTGGCTATATTTTATCATTTCAAAGATAATAGACTGACAAAATAATTAAACAGATTTGCTTTCACTGTGTGTCACATTGTGTGTAATTATTTCTGGGCTCAAGTAATTCACCCATCTCAGCCTCCCAAAGTGCTGGGATTACAGGTGTGAGCCATCGTGCCGGTCCTCCTTTGCTTTCCATCACGAGTAGAGACAGCCTGAAGTCTTCACCAGATGCGTACACCAGTGCCATGCTTCCTGTGCAGCCTGCAGAACTGCAAAGGCAAATATACTCCTTTTCCTTATAAATTTCCCAGCCTCAGGTATTTCTTTATTGCAACACACCTGCTCATAAGCAAGAGATGGGGAGGCACCAGCTGAGGCGCTTAGCCAAGAGGAAAAGGGAAACCTGGGATGAGAGTTAGTTGAAAGATGCAGAAAAGTTACCCTGAGAATAAAGGTAGAAGAAAGAAAATCTAATTTAACTTTTTTTTTAAAACAAACTTTCTGCCAGCAACTCTTTCTGCAAGGTTCTAAGGGTTCTAGGATGAATAAGGCCCACTCTCTCCCTTCTAGAACTTCAGCTGAGGGTGGTTGAGGCAGAGGTCGGGTGAGGCTCATCGCAACAGATTAACAGAGACAGAGTCCAAAGGCAACGTGATGAATTCCAAGTACAGGTAAGACTTCTAATTTTAATTTAAGTAATCATTTCTTGCCTCTAAGCTTTATTTATTTATTTTTTTAAGAGCCAGCATCATTCCTCTGGGTATATTAAGCCTGTAGACTCAATAGCTGTGAATTTAAGAATTTCTGACACCTGGTCATCCTTTCCCTGCTGGAAACACTGTTCCTCCCTCTCTCTCTTCTTGTGCTTCACTTCCATGAAGGAGGGCATTAGAAGAAAGGAAAAGGAAAAGTGCTTGTCTCCCTTTGTGCTCGTAGCAGCTCTGATCCTAGATCTGTCTTGGAGGGTTTGCTATAAAGCAATGGCGGTAGCCATGCCTGGAAACTATGTCCATGGCTGAAAGAGCCACAGGCTCTGCCGGCGGGAGACCCGTGGTAGTTTTGTCTCTGCTATTCATTGATTGTGTACGCCTGGCGTGTTAACTAGTTAAGGCTCTGTGTGTGTTTACCTTATCTTGAAGATGGGGTAAAAAGATATTCACAGGGTTGTGTGCGGATTAGTGCTTATGCACTGAGCACACTGTCCAAAAGGCTATTTTAGGTGCTTAATAAATGCTAATCCCCCTCCTCTTTTTCTTTAAATCAGAGAAGCCGCCCTTATTTGAGGGTATATTTCAGCTCAGTTGTGCTGCCATCAGGACCGTGTAAAGCTGGATTTTTCTTTGCTGGTCCATTTGTACGTGAGCTCTCCCCTTCTCCTCCAAAGTGGAATTGTTATACCTTGTAGTTGGGAAAATTGTGTCATTGTATTTGTACTCAACACAGATGACTCAAGAACTTTTTTCCACTCTTTGGATATATCTTCTCATTTTCTCTGGGTTACCTTGAGGAAGACAAGGAGTTGGTATTTATATTGGCATGCAGGATTGAGAGAGAACATAAAAATGGGCGGGACATACATATATGCAGTGATAAATAGAGGTGTGAACACTTTTGGCTTAAAAATCAATTTTCCTTTGCTATTATACTCAGACCAAGGAAGCGCCAGCTACTTCAGGTCTTTCCTGGAGTAATTAATTCACCTATAATGCCTTCCTCTCCTCCCTTCCTGTAGTCCCTTCCCAGTAGCTTGTTTTTCTTCATTCAAAGAACATATACTAAGGGTTCGTAGGGACGCACACTGGGCTAGGGGCCGAGCTCACAGGAAGAGGCTGCAGGGGCAGGAGGAAATTGCTGGGAGAGGCACACCTGTGCTCTCAGCCCCAGCCTTGTCTGTGTCTGACACATCTGTCCCAGGTGGCTTTTGAGGAGCCCCACAGATGTGGTAAGAAGAGAAAGGGGGCAGGAAAGGGCCCTGGGCTCCAAAGATAAAAGGGGGTAACTCAGAGAGGTTGTGTGAGTGGGTGCAGGCCCCACAGGATGAACTGTGGAGAGGGGACTGAGGGGGTGGCAGCAGAACCAGCCTGGCCGGTGGTGACTGGGCAGCCCAGGCCAATGGAGCTGATTTGTGGAAGAGTGGAGAGAACCCAGCAGGCACATGGCCGTCCGTGGGGCCTGCTCTCCTCACTCCTCTCTGCAGGCCTGACCCCTTTCATTTTAGCTCTAGATACTAAGTTTCCATCACTTCATTTAGGAAAGCACCAAATGGGGCAGGCCCTGTTTTGGGACTGGGGATGCAAACATAAGCAGGACCCCATCACTGCTCCCAGGGAGCCCGCTGTGTCCTGCTGTGATTTCTATCAGGGCTGCAGAGCAGAATCACCCCGGGGAGCTTTTAAAACACACACCATCCGGAGATTCCAATTCAGCAGGACAGGGTGGGGCTGCCCTTTCCCCATCTGCTGGTGAACCTCAAGCTAATGTAAATAGAAAGAGAAGGATGAGGAGATCAACACCCCTATTTTCCAGGCACTGTGCGAAATGCTTTATAAGAGGAAGAGAAATGTAGGACCAGTGGTGTGCTTCAGCTGGTTCATACCAGCCCAGAGGGGCCAACTCTGTGCCTTTCTTCTCAACTTGACGTTCAGAGGCATCACACTGGTACTTTGAAATCATTCCTGGTGGGAATAGTACTACATGGAAATTGACAAATAATCAATACTGGGGCATTTTCCCATCTAGAAAGCCAGTTGTTAAACATTTACCAGAACACCACTGTGTGTGTATGTATGTTTCTTATTTAGTGTAATCTTCATAATAAACCCAGATATTATGCATGTACTAACACTTGACAGCTTTCATATCACTTAAATATGCTGCCCTATTCTCGCAATACCCCATGAGGTATCACTGTCCCATTTTAAAGAAACATTGGCTCCAAGAGGTCACACAGCCAGGAAGGCACAGAGCGGACATTAAAGGCCAAGCTTGCCTCCTATCAGTCCTTTTCCTGCTATGGCAGCCCCAGCAGGCAGATTTCTGGTTCTGAGCCAGGGTCCTGGTCACAAGGGCTGGAGGGCCCAGGCCTGACCCCGTTCTCAGATGTCTTGTAACAGGAAGTTTCCCCCAACACTGGGAGGCTTAGCTTAATAAATGAGTTTCCTGTTCTGCTTATTTGTGTACATTGAGCATTCTCATGCTGCGTTTGGGCCTACACAGGCAGGCTTCCAGAGGCCTCCAATCTGGGGCTTGCTTTTTCCAGGGGGATGTGCTGTGCCAGGGAAATGTGCCCTTGGCTGGCATGGAAAGAAGGGAATCTAGAACTTTTTAAAACCCGCCCCTTTAAGGTCTTGGCCAAGGCCATGGGAATTTCCAAATATTTCCCTTGTCCCAATTGAGGTAGCAATGAGTATACTTGCTAGAACAAGGCTTAGAGATTTATGTCCCCATGGAAAATCCCCAGAAGTGAGGGAAACTCATTCTAAAATGGTGAAAATAGCAGCAAACCCAACCAGCTCCCACAGATAGCACCAGCTGTGGACACAGAGTGTCCTGAGGAAGAAGGCAAGAAGGAATTCCTAATTCCCAGGGTCTCTCTCCCCACACTCTGGGTTTTGTCAGGACCTACTGGTATCTGCTGGAATAGACAACTGAGTGAAAAGCTAGTCACGTCATGGAAAAATCACAGTAAAAGACCTTTTGAAGACAGAATTTTCTTCCATGTCAGGGGTTTGGACAGCTGGGGCTATTTCACCCACATGAATGCTCACTCTGATTCCTGAACTCAGAATTCTTAGTTTATCTCTCATACTCAATCGCCACTACCTGGAATTTCCACAAAGGGTATCAGAGTGAGTCACCTCCCTTACATTCTGAAGGATGTACTGTCTAAGGGATGGGCTTCCAGAGGGCACTAGATGGGAATAGTGGTTTGTATTGCTGAGGGCCCCAGAGGTTTTAGAATGGAAGGACTCAACACCCTGGGTTTGCTGGATGATCCCTTACCAAGCTGTGGCCTCACACCCTCCTATGCTCTGGACCACCTCCAGCACTTGCTTGAGCCCAGAATGAATCTTTCTTTTCTTTTGAATCCTAAACCCATGTCCCCTGAAACGTTTCAGACAGTGGGGATCAGCAGCAACCTTAGAAGCTTTTGTGCTGAACCCCCAGATCTGAGACTGGTGACTGGGACCCGGGACCTGGCACCCCCAGGTGGGTGGACCCCAGGTGAGTCCAGCTGGTCTCCAGCTGAGGAACCCGCCTCTGGAGCTTGGAGGTTGTGATGCACGGTGCCGATGGACTCTGAATTCCAGACTTGGGACACAAGGGAAGATGCAAGGCAACTGTGTAAACCAAAGAGGCTACAGCAGGAAGGTGACAGCAAAAGCAGATCCACTGGCCAGAATTTTCAAATGCCTCTGCAGTACGGTTCCCAGACAGGCAGCATCAACTCACTTGGGGATTTGTTAGAAATGAATCTGCCTATCAGTGAGAGGCCCAGGGATTCCTGTGCTTGACTGCAGTGCCCTAAACAAAACCGAGCCTTTGAGCAAAAGATGTTTGCAACTTAAACACCTAGTGTTACAGAGCAGGGAACGCTGATTTCTCTCTCTCTCTCTCTCATATTATATCATAAAGGATTTGGACTCAGAAGAGATTTTTTTTTTTAGACAGAGTCCTGCTCTGTCGCCAGGTGCCAGGCTGGAGTGCAGTGGCACAATCTTGGCTCACTGCAACCTCCACCTCCGGGGTTCAAGCAATTCTCCTGCCTCAGCCTCCTGAGTTGCTGGAACTACAGGTGCCTGCCACCACGCCCAGCTAACTTTTGTATTTTTTAGTAGAGACAGGGTTTCACCATGTTGGCCAGGATGGTCTCAATCTCCTGACCTCGTGATCCGCCTGCCTCAGCCTCCCAAAGTGCTGGGATTATAGGTGTGAGCCAAGATTTGAGTTTCAAACCTGGCTTTGTCAGTTAATACTCATGGGATCTCAACCAAGTCACTGAATTCTCTGAACATGCTTCCATATTTCTACAAAGAAAACAATAGGTGACTGCTGAATTGAGCACTTGCGGGTACCAAGCAGTAAGTGTTTTACACCTTGTACTCATTTAATCCTCCTGACAAACCATGTGACATCTGTGATTTGATTACCCCATTTGACAGGTGAGGACCTCAGGCACAGATGCTAACCAGCTTTCTGGAAATCACATATTCATGAGTGTCAGAGTGGGGCTGGGAACTGGGCAGTCTAGCTCTGGAGCCACCCTCCATCCACACATCATGCTGGGACCCAGTGGAGTGACTAGCAGATTGGTTGTGTGGGTTTGGTGGAATGGTGGCTATAAACCACACAGCCCAGCTCCTGACCTGTGCTGGGGCCTGTGTAAGTTACTACTTTCATTATTATACATGCGTAGATGAAAGTTGGGTGGTAATAGTGATTTTTCCTAAGATGATGGAATTTTAGGTGCCTTTGCCTTTTCTTACCTGTATATTCCTGAAATCAACATGTTCTGCTTTTGTCACAAGAAGAGAGGAAATGTATTTTTTAAAAGCCCCTTGATATGGTTAGACCTTGTGTCCCCACCCAAATCTCATTTTGAATTATAATCCCTGTAATTCTCATAATCCCCACGTGTCAAGGGAGAGACCAGGTGGAGGTAATTGAATCA